ATTTTGTCCCCTTTATAATCTCAATTCTCAAGTTTATTATTTTCTGTCAACTATTAACACATGCTGTGGTTTTATTGGTTTTATATTCGTCATATAGTTTAGATGATGAAACCTATTGGCTTTATTTTTGTAGATTGTTTACATTTCTTTTTTTTATTATTGGATCAAAATTAGATCGTAAGAGCATATAATTAAAATAAAAAAATATAGCTAGAAAGCGATTTTATTGAATAAAAAAAAGCGCGTCAGCTCATTTGATATCACCAAACGATCCATGAAATGAAGAAACCGAAGCAGAATAAAGATCAGAGAATTTGTTTTAAAGCAGCATGCCTAAAAATAATAATAATAAATTAGTATGAATGACAACAAGCAACATTATATTTCTTACCATAACAAAACAAAAACGAGAAACTATATCCATCATATCATGTACATCAATAAAGGGGCATCGCGTGTGAATCTATCGTCAACAATAATAAATAAACTGAACACTTCGGTACGGGTCTATGTCTTACCCGAGATGCACACAAAAAGAAAAAAGCCATACATCCAAACATAATTCAAAAAAAAAACACAAAATAGCATTCTAGAAAATGAAATAATTAGAAATTGTAGGATACAAAACTGTATGGAAGTCTTACCCAAAGTAAACCTAAGAAGTAACAATAGATAAACAAGGCTTGATGTTTATTAAAAGAAGGAGAGAGTACTAGACGTGACACAACGGAACCATTTCACCCAAAAACAAACAACCGGAACAATTCAAGATAATGAGCACCGCCTTCCTCCCAAAAAATAGTTGTTATCGACAAATTTCTTGACACAGACTTAGCAGCAATTGAATCTATTTTAAAAAATTAGAAATGGCTTTTTTTTTTATTTTAAGTGTAATCATCCGTACCTTTTTATTCACGAAAATAATAAGACCTGCAAAAAGAGCACTAGCCGACCTTGGGAAGCTAAAAAATATTTTTTTTAGCACAAAAGTAATAGAGCAAGAACAAAAAATTGGGTACCTTTTTAAAAAAACATGTCCACGACGCGTCAGCCAAGTGTAAGCAACATGAGCAGCATTCCAAATAGGACTTGGGTTACAGCGTCTTTCAAAAGGAAAAAAGATTGGTAGTTCAGTAAATTAAGGACCTTAGCAACCAGAGAGAAAGACACTTTCCTACATTTATAAAAAAAAAAAAAAAAAAAGGAATGAATGAGTTGAAAGAATAACAACTGCTTTTATTTCTCTTACTTTACTTCAACGATGCTTCCCGTAAAGAGACTATGTTTGCATTAGACACTGGAGTAAAGAATGTTATTTGAATGAAGAAGTATATAAAAGTTTTAAGCTTACCACTTATTAAAAATTATAATCATATGGGAAAAAAGTGTTAAGAAAAAAAAAGAAAAAGGAAAATAAACAAAAAAGACAAAAGTCTACCCTAGAAATGAAAAAAAAAAAAGTTTGTTTTGATGGGAACCTGTCATTTTGCTTAATTAGGCAACCCCACATTTAAGAAAATGAGTGCATAGAAGGGGAAAAACAAATTCTAAAAATACATTTACGCATCCCAACCTGAGTGGACCAACTCCGCTGTCCACCTAAAAAAATATGCGAGTATTCCTGTCCACCTCTCAGGATCACTGTCCACCTCTCAGTATCCCTGCCCACCTCAGTATCCCTGTCCACCTCTCCTTATCTTTGTCCACCTCCCAATAAAAAGATCAAAATATGCGCTTGAGACAAAAGTTACATGAGCTTCCTTTTATTTAAATAAATAAATAAATAAAATTGATTGATTTTAAATAAATGTCAACTCATCTTATAGTTCAGATAGAATGTTATTCTATAATCGTATCAAGAAACTTTTCATTAAATAGGCTATCAAGTAAGATTGTTTTATTATTTAAAAATTGAACATTTCAATGTTTGTTCTTCAGGTTAAAGCTTAACATTGTCAAATAAAGCAATTGGACATGTATTATTTGATGCCACTTAACAAATAAAAGAACTAAATAATATTTCAGTTTCATCGGAACAGTATCCAGCATCAACAATAAACAGTTAGGTTGATCAGTTAAGATTTTCTAAACAAAGAAGAGGTTGCTAAACTCCTTTACTATTTGTTCAAGGTACTTGTATATAAGCTTTACGTGTTTATAGTGTTAGTCCCGAAAACGATTCGTGACATACATCTTGTTTACTGAGTGCTAACGGCTACGTTGTGTAAATGAACTGTAGTCGAAGTAGACGTAAACGGGTTAGTTATTCCTGATTCAACTGTAGCCACTTCTAACCAATTCATACTTGAACTGGAGTTAATTTGTCCATGTCTTTTTAGGAATTAACGCAAAGACCTAAGTTTTGCTTTGCAGATAAAAAGAGTCTCGTTGAGTTGAATTCAGCTGCTTAATCTTGGTGTCCCTCCTTTTATAAAAACCAGTAATTACTTAAGTGTAAGGTATACATCGTCTCTTTTCTTTTTCTGGCCAGACAGTTCTATTGCTTTAAGTTTATGGGAGGGGGGGGTTATTATGTACGAACAGAGGTTGATTTTAATGTAAAAAAAAAAAAAAAGAAAAAAAAACATTCTAAAAAGAGCAGTAGGACAATTTTTTATTATACTGGCAAGTAAGCTTGTGCGCTTAAGCAGTGACTCTCCACCGGTGCTCAATGAATTAAGCAGGCAGTGAGACTCGGGGTCAAATACCGCTGAAATTGCTTTTTTCTGTCCCCGCTCACGCGTTCCTATTTTTTTTTTTTTTTTTTTCTCAGTAGCTGAATTCCCAAGACTACTCACGGGTTTAGAAAAAAGAATACACCCGGTTTTTTCTTTGATGAAGCAGTCAACCATCAGGTTCTCATGGCGACCACACTGAAAAGCAGCCGATTAAGGTTAAGCCTAGCGACAGCCATGGATTATAGAGAAGCACAATACTTAAATATAAACAAGGTTTGATTGTTTGCTATTGAAGCTTTTTAAACCCCCCCCCGACTCGACTGTATCTGATGTAGCTGATACAATGATCAAGGACGTAAAGGACAAGAAGACTTGACCCTGTTTCTTTCCCTTAATAATCAGACTAATAATACCATAAGAAAAAAAAAAAAACGCATGATTAACAAAGGACATGGTAGACGATGTAAAGGCAACGACACTCTCTTTCCCCCCAGTAGTTATACACACAAACGCTGTATTCGGTGATAAATACATGTGTCAAATGAAATGAATTCCTAACATCGTCACGTATGATTTTTGCTTTTTTTTTGTGATACACAAATTGGCTTACACCGGATAGTTTGACTATAAACATCCCTGTTGCTCCTTTGTGGCGTGTAATTTACTATTCTCATATAATACTTTACCACCGAATTCCCGTGTATGTTTTCCATTCCCTCCATCCACTAAATTAAAAGCGATCCATTTTTATTGTTCTTACATCACGGTAAATTAATACGGAATCCATCGGTCATAATCACCAAGTGATCTTTAAAGAGATAAATAAACTTCCAGATAACATGATAAAATAAATTCATGCCATCTTCCACGAGTGTATATATAAAAGTCTAGTCTTCTGCTTCAGTCATATGCATGATTTAGTAATAAATTGATGTATGGGTAGCTCTCATGTTATAGGGTTTACATCCAGGATTGAGATCGATCTTTAATTAGGAGGGCTTTATAAAAGAGTAAGTATCACAATCTCATTTAACACAAAGAATAACTCACCTCGAATGATTTATATCTTGACAACCTACTAGTGTGTATATGTCTGTTGATCACACATAATTCAAGTTTAAATATGTCAAAGAGGTGCTACGGCCAAAGTTTTGCAGGAATTTCAAATCTTTCTTTGCTTTGCTTATGTTGTTGTTGTGTAGCTGTCCATCCAGTGTCGATATTATGTTCTTTAAGCAATACCCATCATGCGTAGTGGTGGATAAATACAAAGGAGAGGAACAAATTACGTCGATTTAACACATACCGATTGATGAACGTCGTTATCCATGGGAACGGAAAAGGTATTGGTGCATTTTCTTTCCTTGTCGGTCTTATCCTTTGTTGAATTTACGCTTGTTGAATATCTTCTTGGTGAATGTTTAAAAATGAGCACCTAGAACTTTCTCCAAATACTGAAAAGGTAGAATATACCAACTGAGGTGCAGGTGTAGCTGAAGCAGTTTCACGTCATAAAGTCGGAGAAGCGTATTTATCGGCCACAGCATCAGGAGTGCCATGGGTTAGTGATTGAACGCTGCATTCCCTTCTATTTTTGTACACCGCGCAAAAAAATGGCTAAGGAATGGCCATCATCCGAAAGAGAGCGTGCTAGATCTTTTTACGAACATCATTAGTGCACGTTTGCAGTTTTCATTTCTATGATAGACAGTCAAGTGTCTTGACACAACAAAGTCCTTCTGCTTTAGCCATTTCTGGGTATAAAAGAGGTTTTTCAAAAGCTCGTAAAATTATTTGAAGACTGCCTGATGGCTGTCCTGTTGTGACTTGACTATTCAAGCGCTAACAAAAAAAAAAAAAAAAAAAAAAAAAAAAACGCACCTCTTTTATTTTTTTTTCTTTCCCGACCTTCGCCCACAATCTCGCAAGAAAAAGTGTAGCAAGCTTTCCAATGTCATGCCACCTTTGAAACCAGGTTAAGCAGGTAATTATACAAGCACGGGGGCTCGCTATTTTTGTTTTCTAATTTCGTTTTTAGCTTTTCAAAGTTCAAAACATCTTAAACCGCTTATCACGTATTTGGCCTTCACTTTGATTTATGTTTAGCCTGTTGATCAGACTAGTGGATTAACACCGTAATAATAAAACCAGCAATTTGATCTTGAGGTCCGAAAACTTACAACTGCAATAGATGGTCAACAAATTCTCATGATAGTTACCTTCACCTTTGGGAAAGGATCGCCAAACGATAGTTCGGAATTATGAGCAATTGCTGTGGGCTGTCTATAGACGATGAAGATAAAGATGAAATTTCATTGAGGATTATGAAAGAATTGAATGCTGAACTTCACTTTAAGAGGTTTTTATTTGCAACAAGAAGTACAGTAGGTGTAATCGGACAAACGAGAGCCAGAGAGACAAGATCAGAAATTATCGGTGTGATAAAAAATACAGCAAATCCACGAAAAAAAAAACAGAAGGTGGATATGAGATCAGGCATAACATGAGAAGTATGATGCGAGATGGGAGATGATTACGGCGCATAAGGAATACTTTGTGGATAAGAGTGTATTATACAAGGAAATAGAGGTATGTTTCGGCTTGATGATATGAGGAGAACAAGAAGTAAGAAAATAATGTGCTGAAAAGTAATGGAGGTACCAATAAAATCAAAGATATTTGGCTACTGTAAATATATTTCAAAATATTTGGGAGATTGATGAGAGAGAATATAAAAGGGATATGGGCCAAAAGGGTGTAATCTCGAGAGTGCAAATTATGTAAAAAGTTTCCTCACAGGGTTTAATATAGAAAAGTGGCAACAAATGTAAATTGGTATATAAAGAACGGAGAATTTGTTTGTTTTCTTTTCTCTGTTTGATTAACTTAAACTGTGCTTGAGGCGGGGGGGGATCATTCAATTGAAAGCACAAAAGCTCTAATAACTTAATGTTATGACAGTTTCTGTTCTTAATACAAGTAATTTTGACAGGTGGTCAGTAAGCATATTAGTAAAAAAAAGTTAGGGCATTTAATAGCACGTACATAAGGCTTTACGTTACGGTCATTGTTTTCGTATTCTGTAGGTTTCTTTTCTTTTTATAGAATTCTCTTTCGTCAATGACCAACCAATGTTAACGTCAGGGTTTTAAAGCTTTCTGTAGACTTTTTATGATGAGCACACCGCGTCTCTTTTAAACGGCTGGGAAATGAGTGCTTTAACCGTCATTCTAATTGATGTTGGCCGTTTCCAAGCAAATTCTTCACGTTTTAGGAACAAAAACAATTTTTTTTTACCAGCCAAATTTATGAGGGGGGGGTATATATTACAAAAAAGTAAAAACAAGTGTGACATTACTTAAAATAGTATTGCTAATTACTAAATTATCATGTCTAATTCACTGGTTGTACATAGGCCACATCGCTATCCTGAGTATAGTATAATTATAAGATAGACTTATACTGGGGGTGCTATTCTTTTTCACAAATTGAGCGGTTTGTTTTTGAAAATAATGTTTGCTAGGGAACGGCCGTTGCTATCCTTGTTCTAGTAAGAGCAAAAAAAAAAAAAAAGAAAGATATATCGCAAAGTAAACAGTGAGCTTATTTTACGGCCTCTCTCCGAAAGTTACACCTTAGATACAGCCAAAGTGAACGTGGTCACAGTCTAGCGGCTGTGCCTTAGGCGCCATACACTCTGTAAAATAAAACGAACTCTTTTTTCCAGAAATTGAAACTTTTGAAAGTGTTTGCTCCTCTGCCAACATTAACACCCAATGCCGCCAAAGAAATCACTACCAATTTTATTAAAGACTTTGCCCATGAAAATAGCTTTGAGACACTAATCGTCAACGTCAAAAGAACAATTGCAAATACAAATGCCCTTATTATACTAACGTAAGAACCGCCAAAAACTAGGGGAAGGAGGGTTTCTCATACTCAAGCTATCGAGAATGAACGTTTACGGGTTCAGTACAGAAAATATTCTTTTGGGCAGTAATGGAAACAAAAAAAAGCTCGCGTCTGACTATGTTACAGGGCATTGAGCAGGAAATTATAAGTATCGCAAAACCCAAAGAACAAAACTTTGGAGGAGGGGTTTCATGAGCCTGATAAAATAGATTTAAAAGACTTATCTCAACCGTGAATAACTGACACAATCCGACAGGTAACATATACAAAATTTCTGTGATGTATCGCATCAAAAAATTGAGCTTTCCTTTTTTTTTCTCAGTAGCTGAATCCTCAAGACTACTCACGGGTTGAGAAAAAGAATACACTTGATCTTTTCTTTGATGAAGCAATCAACCCTCAAGTTATCATTGTGACCAAACTGGAAAGCAGTCGATCAAGGTTAAACCTACCGACAGCCATTAATTATGGAGAAGCACATTACCTAAATATAAATAAGGTTCGATTGTTTGCTGTTGAGATTACAAAAAAAAGAAACCCAACTCAACTGCATTTGATGTAACCGATGCAATAATTCAAGGAAGTAAAGGACAAGAACACTTTGAAGACCCTGCTTTTTCTCTTGATAATCAGACTGATAATACTGTAGAAAAAATAAAATAAAAAAGACTTGTTGTACAAAGGACATGGTAGACGATCTAAAGACAGCGACACTCTCTTTTCCCCGGTAATTATACACACAAACTCTGTGTTCGGTGATGAATACATGTGTCAAATGAAATGAACTTCCAACCTCGTCAAATGTGATTTCTGCTTTTTTTTTTTGTGATGCATAAATTGGCTTACACTGGATAGTTATGATTATTAACATCCTTGTTGCTCCTTTGTGGCGTATAATTTACCATTCACATATACTACTTCACCACCAAATACCCGTGTATGTTTTCCATTTTCTATATCCATTAAATTAAGAGCGATCCATTTTTATTGTTCTTAAATCACGGCTAATTAATACGGAATTCCTCGGTTGATTAAATGTTCTAATCACCAATTGATCTTTATAGAGATAAATAAACTTCCAGATAACATGATGAAATAAAATTTATGCCATCTTCTACGAGTGTTTATATATAAAAGTCCAATCTTCTGCTTTAGCCATACGCATGCTTTAGTGATAAATCGATGTATGGGTAGCTGTCATGTTGTTGGCATTATGTCAAGGATTGGGACGGAATTTTGATTAGGACGAATTCATAAAAGAATAAGTATCCCAATCCCATTTAACACAAAAAATAACTCACCTCAAACGATTTACATCTTGACAACCTACTAGTGTGTTTGTGCCTGTTGATCACACATGATTCAAGTATAAATAGGTTATAAAGGTACTACGACCAAAGGTTTTGCAGGAACCTCCTCCGGATTTGATTTGAACTCATTCAAATCTTTCTTTGCTTTTATTATGTTATTATTTTGTAGCTGTTCATTTATTGTTGATGTGGGCTGTCTATGTCTTTTGAGCACTGTCCATCATTCGTAGTAGGGTGGTTCAATTCAGAAGAGAGGGAAAAATTGTGTCGATTTAATCCATAATGGTGAAAGTCGTTATCTATGGAAACGGAAAAGGTATTGGAGCGTTTTATTTCCCTTGTTGCTTTTGCCTTTTGTTAGACTTACGCTTGTTGAATGTCTTCTTGGTGAAAGAATAAAAATAAGCACCTAAAAATTGAAAAGGTGGAATGTACGACGTGAGGTGTAGCTGGAGCCATTTCACGTCATCAAGTCGTACAGGCGTATTTATCGGCCACAGCATATTAGGCTAAAAATTGAACGTTGCGTTTCCTTCTATTTTTGTACACCGCGCAAAAAATGGCTAAGGAATGACCATCATCCCAAGAGAGCGTACAAGATCTTTTTACGAACAGCATTAGTGTGCGTTTGCAGTTTTTGTTTCTATGATAGAGAGCTAGGTCTCTTAACGCGACAAAGTCCTTCTGCTTTAGACATTTCTGGGTATAACAAAGGTTTTTCAACAGCTGAAAAAAAAATCAAAAAAAAAAACCGCACCTTTTTTTTTTTTTTCTTTCCCCACAATCTCGCAAGAAAAAGTGTAGGAAGCTTTCCATTTTTTTTTGCCACCTTTAAAACCAGGTTAAACAGGTAATTATACAGGCATGGGGGTTCGCTTTTATTTTTGTTCTAATTTCGTTTTAAGCTTCCCACAGTTTAAATCATCTTGTACCATTTATCAGGTATTTGACCTTCATTCTGATAAATGTTTGGCCTGCTGGTTTAGACTAGTGGATTAATGCCGTGATAATAAAACCAGCAACTGGAAATTGAGATCAGGAAACTTATAACTGCAACGGACGACCAATTAATTCTCATGATAGATACCATGATCTTTGGGAAAGGATCGCCAAACGACAGTTTGGAATTATAGGCAATTGCTGTAGGCTGTCTGTAGACAATGAAGATAATGACGAAATTTCCTTAAGGCTTGAAAGAATTGAAGGCTGGTCTTCCTTTTACGAGTTATTTATTTGGAACACGAGGTACAATAGGTGTAATCAGACAAAGGAGAGCAAGAGAGACAAGGTCAGAAAGTATTAGTGCGATCAAAATACAGCAAATCCACGAAAAGAAAAGCAGAAGGTGAATACGAGATCAAGTATAACATGAGAAGTATAACACGAGAGGGCAAATGAATACGACACATAGAGCATACTTTGTGGATAAGGGTGTAGTATACAAGGAAATAGAGGTATGCTTTGGCTTGAGAATATGAGGATGACAAGAAATAAGAAAATAAGGTGCTGAAAAGTAATAGAGGTACCAATAAAAATAAACATATATGTCTACTGTAAACAGTTTGAGGGATTGATGCGGGAGAATATAAAAGGGATTTGGGCCAAAATGGTGTAATCTCGAGAATGTGAATTAAGTTAAAAGTTTCCTCACAGGGTGTACTGTAAAAGAATGGCAACAGATGTAAATCTGTATATAAAGAAAGAAGAATTTGTTTATTTTCTTTTCTCTTTTTGGTTAACTTAAACTGTGCTTGCGGCGGGAGGGGGATCTTTAAATTGAAAGCACAAAAGCTCTAATAACTTAATGTTATGACAGTTGCTGTTCTTAATACAAGCAATTTCGACAGGCGGTCAGCAAGTATATTGGAAAAAAAAGTTAGGGCATTTAATAGCGCTTTACGATACGGTGATTGTTTTCGTATTCTGTAGGTTTCTTTTCTTTTTATAGAAATCTCTTTCGTCAATGACCAACCAAAGTTAAGGTCAAGGTTTTGAGGGTTTCGGTAGACTGTGTGTGATAAACACACTGAGTCTCTTCTAAAAACGGCTGGGAACAAATTGCTTTAAACGTTATTTTAATTGATATTGTTATCCTTATTCTTGTAAGAGTAAAAAAAAAAAAGATATTTCGCAAAGTAAACAGTGGGCCCTTCCTCCGGAAAGATGTTGTGCCGGAAATTACACCTTAGATACAGCCAGCGTAGCCACAGCCTAGAATCGGAAACCTATTGGCTGTTCCCAAGAGATCACATGCTGTAGTGGCTGTCCCTTTATTGCCTTACACTCTGTAAAAATGAAACAACTTCTTTTCTCTAGAAATCAAAATAAATTTTGAAATTTTTGAAAGTGTCTGCTCTTTTGCCAACATTAACATACAATGCCATCAAAGAAATCGCTACCAATTTTATTAAAAACTTTGCCCTCGAAAATAGCTTTGAGACACTAACCGTCAACGTCAAAAGGACAATTGTAAATGCAATTACCCTTATTATATTAAAGCAAGAACCGCCAAAAATGGAAGGGGGGGGGTTCTCATACTCAAACTATTGAGAATAAACGTTTACGAGCTCAGTACAGAAATTATTCTTTTGAGCAGTAATGGAAACAAAAAAAAGCACGCGTCTGACTATGTTACTGGGCATTGAGCAGGAATTTAAAGGTATCACAAAACCCAAAAGAACAAAACTATGAAGGAGGGGTTCATGAGTCTAATAAAATAGTTTTAAAAGACTTATCTCAACTATGAATAACTGACACAATCCGACAAGTAGCGTATGAGAAATTTACATTTGGTTTATTTCCAGTGCGTGTAACAGGGCCTCTTGAAAAATCCAACTCTTTGGGATAGCCAGAAGGTACCCGATCCTAAATGACCCAGAAATTTGAAAGTGGCTGTATGTGGAAATTGATAAAGATTTAAACAAATAAAAGGTGGTCTTTACATGCACATAATTTCAGACCTTAATAACAGACAGGCTGATGACGATTGTGGGTAGATTTATCCAGATAGTACTCGGATGTAATGATCCCGTAAAGAAAGACCATAATGAGATGTCAATAACAATAACAATAACATTCATCCTTAAACTGTGCATATCTTGTAGCACAATATTCAGGGGCAATTGTAGTTCTTAATAAAGGTAGCTGTAGCACCTCATTGTGGCTAATGTAACTTTCATCTGTTTTCATATTAATGTTATTTTTTAAATGAGTATGCCTTATACTTGTATGAAGGATGATATGAGATCAAGCCTGTACATAAAGTAAATGATCAGTATTTAATGTAAAGTATCGATAAGAAATATATTTAGGATTATCAAATTGAAGATTTAAGAAGTGTAGATCGAGTCATATATTAAGTATATAGCCTCAATCACGACACTGTACCTGCGTCTATCATTGTGCCTTATTTTTTCTTTTTAGTATTTCGGGTCTGTGATGGACGGTCTGATGTAAATGATGAACTTATTTTAAAGGGAGAAATGGTCACTTTAACTTCATACAGCTAGACATGAAAAGAGTGTCTGAGCACATGTTAAAAAAGCTATTGGTGATCTAACCGAAAGCATTATATACTAATAACGCATTTGTATACGCATATAAAAAGTAAGTGCTTATAAAATTGATAACAAGCTCAAGAAATTTGTTCAACGAGTAAAGCCTTGCTTATTAGGGGAAATGAGTTACGCAACCCAGCCTTTTCACGCTTGAAGATTGTACTCAGATCTTTTACTCTTTACTGTCCTTCTTGTAATTGCAACCCAGCCTTTTTCTGCCCCCCCTCAGATTTTTTTTTTATTCCTTATTGCCCTTCTTTTCATTGCAATCCAGCCTTTTCCCGGCCCACAGATTTTCTTACTCTTTTGAGAGTCGCCTTTAGCGCGACTGGGTTTTCTTCCAGTTTTGGTCCCCTTTGAGTGGAATGCAGCTTGCCCAGTTGGGTGGCTTGGCATGACTTTTAAAATTTGAATAGTCTCAGGCAGACAAAATCTGTTATGTCTACTACTTACTTCCCTGCGTGTTTGTTATTTCACTAATTTTTTGCAGAATGTAGCCTTTTTTTTTTAAAAAAAGCATATTCAATACATATTGCATATTGTTGTATGGGGTTTACTATTATGTATATATATATATATATTTAGAGTTTTTAGTGTCAATAATTTTGTACGAAAACACAAACAGCTGAAATGACAAGTGTCTGTAAGTATTTCATACAAGTGGTTTTTGCTGTGAATGTAGCTCAGAGCTTCTTGGTTTTGGTGCAAAGAAGGTCTGTTGTGGCAGCACCCAACGATGTTGAAGCGCTAAAAGGAAGAAAAGCTTGGAATTTGTAAGGGCTCACTTTGGTTTCTGATTTTTCAAGCAAATTAATTTAGAATGCTAGTTGCTACTGATAGGGAGACATAGGCTAAATATAGTCACCAAGTAAATAAGGCTTTCAAAACTCAACTTTATATTGTAATGTCTTTTGTTTTCTTCATTACCCCCAACTTACCTCTTCAGTGCTTTCGGCATCAGTGCAAAGCGTAATGCTTCTGTTTTTTCATCTATCTTGATAACTTTTTTAGTGTTACTACTTTCACACTTTGCTAATAAATGTTTCGAAATTATACATTAACTGGTTTTATTCATACAAGGAACAAAGTCGCTTTACCTTTTTTTTTTTGTAGAATAAGAAAGGATACTGCGAAAATGTATGTAAGTTTTGCTTCATTCTAAGCTCATAAAAAAAATGCAACCTTATTTATTTGTCACTCTTAATTAGGTGCGCCTTTACTCAAATTAAACGCTTTTTTTTTTCTATCCGCCACCCCCTTCATGGCACTTGCGTTGTATTTAAAGAACTCTTAGTATTTACCTGTATCCTTCATACCTGTAAGGATATTTGATTTTCCTCAGTTCAAGTAAGCTTTATTTTATTTTATACTGCTTAGTCACGTATTTCATCCTCTTTTTAATCAAAGCATTTAATCAAAGTAGTCTATATCAGCATTAAATTTTTTCCGACCTTGTTATGAAACAAATGACTACTATTCAATATATTTATTGCCATAAACAAGTCAGTTTTATCTTTTTAAAGGTAAGCATTGTTATCTAGTTAGGTTTGGAAGTGTAGTTCGAAAGAATGATGTAGCACGTATTATTAATCGGTGCATGATATCTCCGCCTCCCCAATAATTAGCAGAAGAAGGGAAGTATTTGACCGGAAAGCAATTGAATATATAATTAAAAATACACTTTATAATAAAGTACTTGTATTAAATGCAATTATAAGTATAAGAGAGAAAAAAAGAGGTACGTTTTACGAACAAACTTGGTTGTGTAGATAGCTACTTACTTAATTTGCGAAGATAGAAATATGAAATCATTGTTGCTGTTGCAGCCGTTTCCATCTGATCCTTCTATTATCAGCCTTAAAAATCCGTACTCATTTTTTTTTTTTTTTTTTTTTTTTTTTAAAAAAAAAAAATAGAGAATGATCAATACTGTTCGTAAAGAAATAATTCCACTCCCTCGTTTAGGTATAAATATAAGTAACATATGGACAGACCTTTTTCAATAGTTCTTTCGCAACTGTTTTGTAACTATGAGTGATACAACAATTCAAACATTTTCCAGCAATTTCTAGTAATCTTGACGGGTGTGAGCTGCCAATCAATGAAGAAAATAATGTTGATAGGGTATAAATATAGTGGGGGCCATTGTATTTTCAATTACAGTGTTATAACTGTAAATTCAAACAATGGGGGGGGGTTTGAACAAACTATAAAATGTTTGCAGACAGATGCAAATATATTCTGGACAGCCATAAAAAGAGATTTAGACAGATGTAAAATTATTTCAGAGAGGCTTAAAAGAGGTATTATTAGACAAAGACTTGATTGATGTTCATAAGATACATACCCGGATCCCATTTAAGATGTCTTCTGCATTGGGAGTGTCACAAGGCATCAAAAGTTGAGGTCGTGTTTATTTCAACCAGTGCTTCACAATTGGCACATACACTTTTGTGCAGACATTAAAAAAGGTCTTCATAATTAAGTCTTAACATTAGAAGTTTATTAATAATCGCTTATTAAAATATTGTATCAAGATCCCATTCAGCGGGAAAAGTGAGGATACGAATATGAGTATTTATGGAGTGTGTTGTTAAAAACTATAGCCTTATAAGGTGGAAAATTAAAAAAAAGGGAAAAGGGTTTGTTTGTAAATCATAAAATAGTAAATAAAAGATCAATTTGACAGATTAGCATGATTTCGAATTGAATTTCAGCTAGGCTGTCGATTTTGCATGAATGGGTTGCGAGATGAAAAGTCAAAAGGTCAAAGCGTTGGTCCGTGATGATTGGTTGATGTGAGTTTGATGAGATTTTGATGAGATTTTGATTAGAGTTTGAGTAATACTAGTGTCAGAGCGGAATTGAGTGACGTAGTAAATAGCGGGGGAAAGTGATGTGTGTAAGAGGGTTCTTTTTTTTTTTTTTTGCCCTATATATATTTTTTTTTTGTCACAATGCACTATTCCATAATCCACTTGTAGAAGAGAACACCTGGATCGGGTTCATCGACAAAAGTTTCAAGTGTCTTATGACAGATCTGGTCAGCGAGGAAGAGAATGTTGAGGAGATCAGTCCAGAGAGGTTGCCATTTGATTATTAGATTTTGTTTTTCAGTGATGAACTTGGGCTTGTTTGATGGAAGGGATTTAAGAATCGCGTCGATGGAGTTGAATTGTTGTGAAAACCACACTGAATGTGCTCCCAATATGCTTCTGGTATTGCTGGGCATACAAACAAGTGATTTCGACTCGTTTGACCTCCACAGTGACAATGCCGCTTTCCACCAGGTAACCAATTCATGCGTCACCTAAGGATTTGTTTACGTTCTTTTCCAGTCACGGGAATTGTCAGAACTGGATCTAGTTTATATCAGATCTGCAGCCTTGTGACATTTTTTCCGAAGAATTGATGATTGCGTTAGACTTGTAAGAGGAGATTTTGTGAGTAAGTTTTGTGTATATTGGTATATGTTTGGTATCCTGTATTAGGGCCTGGTAGATGGGATTTTTGTTTTTGATTAGAATTAATTTGTTGTATCTTGTGTTTAATTGAATTATTTTGTGGATGAAAGAATCAGTAGGAAGGGAGGTGTAGCGGATTAAGTATTTGGAGTTCAAGGTGTACCAACGTTCGACCATGCTCGGAAGATCGGGTCTCTTGGGAACAGTCAAATTTTCTTAGGGACAGCCAGAGTGACTGTGGTCACAGCGTAAGATCTGTGATTTGGCTATCGTTTAGAGCTGGAAACAAGAATATACAATAAAAAAAAGTGTGACAATTACGATCAAATGCATATTAAATGATTTAAACTTTTTTTGACAATTCTATTATCATTCTTTCGCCTTTAAGTTCGTTTAATCCTGATCTTACGCAGAATTATCAAGGTAAAGGCCAAATGAGAAGCTGAAAGTAAGCTGTGATACACACATACTGGCTTATCATATGCTGATTGTAGTAAATTGTATCTAGTTCAAGACGATAAGTTATATTGACCTCTTGGTGTCTATTAAAGTATTATAATCCCACGTTACGACTATGCGCACCCTGCCTATTTCTTACAAAAATGGCTGTCCCTAACACATAGTTAAAAGATTAATTTCGTGCAGTCAATTATGTCTCAGTTTTGGTATCGGTTGGGTCAATACCAACCAAACAATTGACATTAATCCGACAAAGTGATTTCTGTCGGGTGGAACAATACCATGCAAAGATTGACAATCGAATTTGCTTAACTTGAATATAGTGGGGGGATGGGTTGACTTTAAATCTTGTAGTAACACATTTTGTGATGTAAGCTGCAAGCAACTATTTAAAGTTATGCAAACATCACGTTCTCCGATGACAATTGTTATTTTTTTTTGTGGAACTTCAAACTTTGTACATTATGCAATTCATCAAATAAACAAACGATGCAAATCGTGGCTAAACAAATAACTTAATTACTGAATGATCTCATGTATCTGAAACTAAAAGCTTAATCTATTATTACTTTTGAGGTCTTTATAAACATTTGTATTTAACGCTTCGGGAATTGTCAGGGTTGATCCTACACTACTCGCACAAAAACACACAAAAACACACACATACACACACATATACACACATATACACACATACACAAAAGGGTAA